TTTAACATAAAATTACAGTTGGTAAAATTCACATACCGTTACTATGGCTACAGAAACATATATCATAACTACAACCTGACATTCACAGAGCTTTGAACAAGAGCAGCATGACCCCCTCCAAAACCTCAAATCTGTTTAAAACCCCTTGTTTCCCTCTGATTCCGCTTGTGATCTATCACATACAACTCGGCTGATACGGAAAGAAACAGAGGTTCCATCACACCGGCATACCACTACCTTATCCCTTTCAATCTTATTCAATCAGTACGCAGGGCAAGCTATCATGATTCTTAATTCCCCCAGCTGCATATTTCCAAACTGCAACATCTCATTCGATTACCTCACGCCCTTTTTGGAGCTGTTTGACTGTTGTCTCCCCACTGCTATGACCGGTAGGTGTTTCAAGTGGAATTAGCGTGGGGGACCACTATTATATCGGCGTGTAGCTAGCCTGAAGTGCCCTAACGTTCTACCTATCTAACCTGATGTAATAACAACAGCTTGGATCCATTCCAGGAATAGTTCGGGGAGTCCCCGTACCAGGGGGTTCAGTCTGTTTGTGTCTGTTTTTAGATCGGAGTTTCTACCCCAAAAAGTGCAGGTACGTGGCTTTAGCACTCGTTCGGGGCACCGCGTGCTGGGATTAGGGGTTGCTATTGGTTACCGACTCGTCACGTGGGGTTGTGACGGTGAGGTGATTGGGTGGTATATTCTGCTTTGGTGTGATCTAAAAATACGTAATAATAAGATTTGGAATGTTGCAAGCAGGTCGCCTCCTGCCAGCCCTAGTCTTTGAACTAAACTAGACGCAACAAGTCAGCCCTCCTTTTCTTTATCAGTTGCTAGACACAAACTCTTTCCTTTGATAGGCCCCCTGATATCACGTGATTAGTTTCCAGGCCTCCCATTGGCTGGGTGGGTGAGCATGTTTGCTCAGAGCCGATAGACGGATCATATTGTAAACCATTTGCCGCTTTCCCCTGATCATCTCACTTTCTTTCTTCGGGCAATTCATTATAACTTCCGGCTGTAAGCAGGGACGAGTTTCATGATCGTAATTCCAGTTTGAGACTGTGCAAGAATTCAGATGGTAGATCAAATGTGTGGGATTGTTCGAGAGATCTTGACTGTAAGTTTAGAATTTGGGAAAACCGGATATTGGCAAAAATGTTTCTCAGAATAAAGCTTTTTTATCTATAAACTTGAAATTAATAATTCAACGAATTTTTGTTTTTATTTTTAAAACTTTTCCAAAGCACTTTAATTTGAGCCTTCAAATTAAAATTCCAAGAATTTGTTCCGGACGCTAATTTAACACTCCTATCGTGCCAGCAATAATAAGTAAATAAGAAGGGACTTGTGATTCACAGCTACTCGTCTGAATGATGTAAACAAATCCGTTCCGCACATTAAGCCGGATTCCTAATCCCATTCCGTCATCTTCCCAGAGAGAGAGAGAGTTGCCCAGTGTTTTCCTTTACATGAGATGAAACAAACCGATCAGATACTTTCATGTTGCATTCCTGTTTGCTCCTGATCAGACTCTGTCAGAAAGGTGTTTTATATCAGGTAATAAATCAGTAATTTTAAGTCTCGTTACATGGTGGACTTCACTTCAAATTATAAGGTGGTGCTCAGTGACCACATTACAGCATTGATACGTGATAAAATGGATTTGGAACCGATGTAGGATGAAGGGGTGTTAGGTGGTCTGTTTTCCGATAGAGTAAGTACGGTTCAGACCGTGACGTTTGGCAAGATCTGGACCTCTAGACGGTGATCTTATCTAAGCAGACATGGATCAAGGATTTATAGGGAGGAAATATGTAGAAAGTGAGGTTAATGGTAGTCCATTGTCCAAGTCGTGAAATGCAGCCTGTTGAACAATTGCTGTTTCGTGACCTTCAACCTGTGATGTTATTACTAAAATTGGTAATTGATTGACACAGGAAATCGGCTCATTAGTTCACCTATCATGACTCGTCACACTTTTAACATTTAATGGTGTTGACATAATCCTTAGTCTCAGTTAGTGACGCAAGCACTGTTATCTTAACTGCGTCACCAGGGAAGCAAATGCCTTCAGGCACACTTCATAGACAATGATCACAGACTCTCTTCTAACCGAGATCAAGGGTAGGAATAGGCGGGAATATTAGAGGTAGACATAGTAATCTACTCCTAGGTTAAATAAACCTTGGAACTAGGTTCATCGGCGATGCTGTTCCTCCAAGTCCAAACTGTAAGGGAATTAGGTAATCGTATCTCATTGACTGATCAAGTCGGAACCTTTGTTCAAAGTTTAGAGCTGTTTCTAATGGCTATGATGTAGCTAGCAGGATAAGAAGCTGGGTCAGTAAACTACGTCATAGAATAAGGAACCAAGAAACAATAATCGAGTATTGGAAACGTTGGAAACGTTAGTTTGGGGGTTAAACTATCTTATTCTAGAGTAGACATCCATTCTAAGATTGGTTTTTAAAGACGCATATAAATTTAAAACCTCTGCCAAGTATCCCCTGACCTCTCTTTTGAGACATAAACCCCAACAAGACATAATTCCTCACCACGATTTTCCTTTGAAGTGATCATTACCCCCTTTGGTTTTTGTAGCACTGTAAGTAGCCAGCAGGCTGTCAGGCTTGTACCCCAGATCCTCAGCTGGTCCCCACTCCTCACCTGACGGACACTCATGACCTGCTGATACCGGGCCCCCCGCAGCAATTCAATCGGACGTCAGCTAAAACCGACAATTGTAATTTTAGTTAGATTAATAATATTCGCTGAATTGCCCTGGCTGGGCTCTGGTGAGGAGAGTGGGTAATAAAGAGGGGGTGTAATGGGCAATTCATTACCAGCAGTACTTGTAGTGGTGGTGGGTAATGGAGTGTGAATTTGTGGGATCGTTTTGAAGTGTGCACTTTCTGTCGCAGACGTTAAAGAGTACTTAGGTGAACCTGACCTGCTAAAGTTTCAAAAGAAGTCTAAAGCCTAAATCTCAATTGAAAACCGATCGAGATTCCACTAGAGCCAGACACGTACGTACGTTAGCCCATTCAACATTCCGATTGTCGTTTCGGCGGAGAAGCCTGGCTGACTAAAATAAGAAACTGTCCCCTCCACCCTGGCCACTAAAATAAGAAACTGTCCCCCACAGCCCTTCACCCTAAACGATGACAGACCCTGCATTATCGTTCTCATTTCCTCAGACGATCCTATCTACCCCCAACTAGCCCCTCTACCACCCATTATCTCTCTCCAGCAGGATATTTTCACGGTGGTCTTGCAGCTACCTTGTCCAGCTTCCCTCCCTCTCTCACTCTCTTTTCCAATCCTCATTAAACCCGCTTATCTCCGGTAGGTGGGGCCCGTGTTGTTCAGACTGCTGAGGGGAATCCTTACAATGGTATCCACCAATCAGGAGGCAGGGAGGATGTCATGTGACTAATGGGGACCAATCAGAGGGGAGAGTGTGAGAGGTGAGAACCTATAGGGTGCCGAGTTGAGGGTCACGGAGGGAATCTGGATATAGATACAAGGGCCAGGGTAACACCTCGTTTTAGAATGGTCTCACTGAAAGTACATGGATTATTTGAGTGAACAATGAACTTGGTGAAAATCTCGTAAGCTTTCGAGCATGACTTTGTAAAATAACTTAGCATGAGCTTTTAGGGAAACGTTGGAGTAATGAACCCGAATTTTCGACCAGAAATCATTAAAATTATGGTTCATCTCACAATGAACTTGGTGAAAATCTCGTAAGCTTTTGAGCATGACTTTGTAAAATAACTTAGCATAAGCTTTTAGGGAAACGTTGGAGTAATGAACCCGAATTTTCGACCAGAAATCATTAAAATTATGGTTAATCTCATCAATATTCATGCCCACATATCCACTACAAATTATTTTCCCCACTAACATGGTCACGCTCAAGAATGTCCACGGTATGTGGAGTACGTCATGACGTGTCATCAGGTGTTAGTATAAAAAGAGAAAGAGAGGTGCAGCAGCTCCCCCTGTCTCCCTACTACAGTCTCACTGACACCCGCCTTTACAACCGTCTGACTGCAACTGGATAATTGTTAATTAACTGTCTTTGTTTCGGATTAAATCAGCTCCTTTAAACCGTAAATCAAATCCTCTGACTCAAATTATAACTGCCAAGTCCGCTAAATAGCATGGTATCCATGGTTACCATGGCATCACGGCACCAAGACGACCGATAGGTTCCCGTTGGAGTGCTGATACAATTCTCCTCTGAAATATTAAATCCTCCTCCAAACTATGAGTCATGTGAGATGTGATTTTACCCTCCCCCTCCAGTTAGCGACATCTGTTGACTGATTCACTGTCAAATGACTCCCGACCGTCCTTCTTCAATTGAGCTATATTGATCGGTTTGTCCCCTTTTTAAAACCAAAAACTTGAGATTATCAGTTGTATTGGAGGGGGTGAGTATATAATATAGTTACTGCACCCAATTATAATATCTAATTCTGGGGCTGTAGACTTGTTGCCGGTTAACGCGGGCCAATGACGTGACAGTATCCAGGTCACGTGACAGGTCGTTAGCCAACCAGCGTCCAGGGTTTACCGATATACAGAACTCCTGGGTTTAATTCCGGCGATGCTGTCTGGTAACAAAAGTTTGCATTTTGGTCGGAGGATCGAAATGTCTCGCTAAAATTCATAAAGAGTTGTACTACATCATGAGTTCACTGCACGAATTGTGAATATATATGTGTATATTTTGTTTGACCGTGACAAGAGACAGGATTAGGCTTTAGATCACCCTGACACAAAATTAATTAAATTTCCGATAATCATTAATCGGCCGGGCATCTTTCAGTGCAAAATATTTTAATTTTATGTTCCACTTTTAAGCTCTCTCTCTCCTCTCTATACTGCAGTTCACTGCGTAGCTGGAACTGTCAAAACGCGCGCGCTCTCCTCGCAGCAATAACCACGTGACCGCGGCACGTGATCACGTCACGTGCTAGAGACCCGATGCGTGAGTAAAGACATACGAATGACCCCGTTTTTCATAAACTAATCTTCACTTATCCTTGTTGTGTGTTTTAGTTTTGTCTGCTCCCATCCGATGTACGTCTCTGCTTTGAGCTCTACTACAGATATCAAGACAATGGAAACAGGAATCAAGAAGGAACCTCTTAACGTGCTAGAATACGGGGTGCAAGCCACAGACACCTCCGTAGAGAACCGCTACCCCAACCTCTACCCAGGCTACGATCAGCACTGCTACACAACTGTAGCTTACCCGACCTCGCACCAGGCCACGGTCTACACCGCTCCACCTTTCTCCAGGTGTGCTCGTCCACTGTCTCCCTGCACTCTCCGTCCCACCACCTCATCTTGCAGCAACACCACCTCTCCTGACAACACCACTACCCCAACATCCACCACCCCTCGCTGCTCAATGTCTCCTATTAATATTAGTCAGGCTGCTGCTCCCCGGCCTTGCAACAACATCTCTCCCTCCACCACAGCCCCGAGGAACATCTCCATGCCTGCAGATACCACCACTCTCCACACTTCACCTGACCAGACTGTCGAGGAGAAAGCAGAGCACTCTCCAACTGCAGGTTAGAATCGATACCTTTTATTTGCTTTGTTTTATTTACCACGCTGTTATTTGCTGTACTTTTCCTTTTTTATGTTTGGTTTGTGGTATAATTCTACGTGATAGAATTATATCTTTAACGAAACATCTCGTTAATATCCGTACAAACATATTTTCAAGTTCTCATAGATTTGCCAGCCGTTGCCCAAGTATGGTATTGAATAATTTGTAAGGACAGGAAACATGTCAACAAAGTGAACCACAAACCCAGCTACAACTGCACGTCACCCCTAACTCCCCCCAAACTGTCCCCATCATGATCGACTCCCTCCTGATAGCGACACGTTTTTCCAGTCCACTTCCCTCAGAGCCTCGCACACTAAATCAGCTTCTCAACACATTCCTGACAGCTTTCCAGCCCTAAAGAAAATAATAATCCCAACTTTTAAAAAGATCTACCTGTTGCTAACTTCTCGTCCTCACAGAGTCTGGGTTAACTATGTACCTCTTAGACCTGCCATGTCGAGCTGGAGTTGTATCACTAACTCGTCCTTAGTAAGGGGATCCCACTGCCCCCCTGCTGTACCACCACTTTTCCCGAAATTCCACCCCGAGTTCATCCGGGCTTTTAAATTCTTAAGCATCTTAACTTTTGTTGGGTAACGAAATGCTGGCGTGGAAAAGGGGTGAATAAACAGGAGAAGACTGGCGGTAGCTGGGAATCTATAATAAAATCAGGCCGCCCTAATCATATTTGTCCAACTTTAAAATCTGCCCTACACCATTGCTCCTGTCCGCGGAGTAGTGTGATGAATATTTTCATGACATTTATTCCATGGAAAGTATTAAATACTTTAGCCAGTTCCAAGTGGGGTATACTACCTAAAGTATTGCGTAGGAAGGGGGCTAGCCTCGGTGACCGCGTATCATCACAACTCCTTAGCCTCCCCTTTTTTCTCAAACCCCTACACACACTCGCTCTGACGAGAATCGAAAATTTGGTGCTGATTCTATCAAGTCAGTGTATCATTCCTTTGATCAACACGTGGCCATTGGAAAGTTTTCTCGTCTATGAGAAGAGAGAATCGGTAAAAGGCATCCACTGGCACCGACCTTCTCCACCCTAAACACCCGCCGTACCTTCACATCTCTCCTCCACAGGACACGGTTGAATTATCCTCACTTTGACATGACTCTGAGATAATCCCGGCAGCACATTATCTTTATTTCCATTAGATAAGAGCCTCAATTAACCCCCTCTCACCTGACCCCAAGTACTGTGTTCTGTTGTTGGAGCTAGTTACGACACCCCATACACAAAGGCTTGTAGTCTACTGTGTTTAACTACAGCAACTTTCCACACCTCAGCGGGCAACTGTTGCTATGGTTACCGTATGTTTTCAGATGTTATCGAAACTTTTCAAGTTTTACACGATCCCCAGCTATTCTAGACCTTACAGCGGGACTGTGTGTGTGTGTTGTTCCCCCATACCACGTGTACAACTCACCGTGTTTATTTTTGCCGTTCGAGGCCATTAATTTTAGTGATGCTCTGCCAAGCTCTAGGTCGGATATTTGATAAGCTCTCTACACCCCTGTCACATATCACAACACTTGCTATATAGTTTGAAATTTGAATCCCATAACGCTTTATAACGCAGTATTTTAGAAGCCGCAGAGCGCGCGTTTAACTTTTGAGGAGCGAAAAAAGATTTAACTTTTCTCCCGAAGAAGAGAGAGAGGCTGTTTAACACCGGTATAATGTAGTATAAACCTCCGGGAGAATTTCTCCTGAAACAAACTAGCAAACCTGGCTGTATTTCATTGGTGGACAAGACAGCTGGGGAGACATATCTGATTTGTGATTGGTTCTGGGCGACTGGCCATCTTGTGATTGGTGCTGGTTAACTGGTATCCTCAGCCATATCACGAGAGAGACGGACCCTCTTTGTCCCGGATTGGACGGCGGGATGTCGTAGTTTTAGGTAGTACTCAGGTAAATTGTAAGGATTTGAGAGTTTAATGCTATGTAAATCCAGCTCCGTTCTAATACTAATAACATATCCTCGTTTACCCGGACCCTGCAGATCCTGAACCTCTGTATTTTGTTTCAAAAGCTCAACTCGACCCCAGCTATTAAGTGGACATTAGGTATAATTTGGGGCTCATTAGAGCTTGTTCTGCTGAGGTGATCCCATGTTTTTGCATCTGATTACCCCGTATTATGCAAAGTATCTGAGCGGAGTGTTGCCAGACGGTTAGGCGCCTCATTCTCATGCATAATCCAGCACCCACTTTTTGGGATTAGGTACGGACAGGCTCTGTGGAGAACCCTCGACCCATCATACCCTCTCAAATCATCACGTGATCAGGGGGCTCCAATCAGATCCGTGGGATCCACTCGGCCTGTGAAAATCAAAGGTCAGAGGTTAATTCTATTTGGGAATTATAGCGAGGGACAGGTAGACGTAGTAACTAGCGTCTGAGAGGCAGATCAAACATCTCAGTTGAAACTCAAACAACTCTCCAAGTGGTTTTGAGACTTCTGAAGCTGTCCTCGTGGGGCACCAGGGCTCTGTGGAGAATGGTGTTGGGGAGTAAATGTGAGCCTTTAGGCTAGAAAACAGCTAACTTGTGTCCAGTCGTGATCAGGGTTTGGAATAAATACCTTGTGAATTATGTGCGGGTTGGAAACTGTATTGTTTTGAGTCTCAAGATTCAAGATTGCGAGGAGAGTAGCACTGTGTAAACAACTGTAGAGATGTGATGACAGCTTGATGGGAGTGATGAGAATCATGCAAAATCTGCTCATCAAACTGTGTTAAGACCTCCAGCGCCTGGCTGTAATCTTATAAAATAGACAATCTGAACAATAATCATAAAATGGACCTCCATTATTTAACAGTTGCGAGCTTGACACCATGCAGTTTTGAAACACTGCACTCGCCCTGTCCCACCACGGAATTGCACTGAATCTAATAGAAAGTCTGTGTGAATATTGAGGTGTTGTCTGGTCCGACCCTCTGTGTTCGTGTCTACACACCTCACGTTCTTACCCTTCAGGGGTACCCCAGCCAGACTCTTCTCAGGCATGTTCATGCTCCTTCATAATTCCTTCCATTGCTAGAACAGAGAACTTTATCGTCATACGTAGGAAAGAGAGAGAGAGAGAGGGGCTATGATACGTCAGTGAGGAGGTATGATATAATCCCGACTACGTCTGGTGTCTGACTGCTTATGATGTGGTTTAGCCTATACTAGGGTCTCCGTACCAGGAGCTCCCTGGTACGGGGCTACATTTTGAGACAAAACCAAATCGAGAAAGTTTGTTGTTCGGTGGTGGTTGTAATACCTAAGAGTAGGGGGGTCAATGTGTTAATACATGAGCTGCTGAGGACTGACCGAGCAGATCATTGTTAGGACTGCAGGACAAGTATAACTGCATTAACATCAATGTTACAGTTCAAAATATCTGGCACCCAGCCAGTAGGGAGCCAGGGACCAGGTCACGTGGGCGAGTAATCTGCCGATCAGCGGGGAGAAGTGAGGTCTTGTGACAGTCGGTGTAAGAATAGCTATTGTCATTAGTGACAAGCCCCCTCAAGCTTATGGGCTCATATTTTCTGCCTTTACACTCGTGACTACAGTGTACACGGTATATTTGGGATATGACCGGTCACGTGGTTGTGTTGCTATGGTAACGTGTCAGAAGCATGTGAATTTAGATCTAATACGGGTATATGACGTATCCGTACATGTATGTAATAATCTCCTTTTAGTTTTTCCTTCCAAATTCCCAACATTATAACCCCAAGTTTGAGTCCTCGGAAACATTCATAAAGTGTAATTTAAAGTGCAAGAATGCAGTGAAAAGTAAAAATACCTTGAAAAGTACATATTCTAGGACCTATCTGCACAGCAAAATCATGTACAGAAGTTTCTAAACATCTGTTTTCCATACAACATGATAAGCTTCCAACCCAATATCTCATCCCGCTAAAAATAGCACTCCGTTGTCCCTTGTGTATTGGAAAAGAAGGAGGAGTAGGGTGCCAAATGTCACAGTGTCACATATCATATGACCTGTAACAGATACAGTAGTGATCTCACTGCCCCCAGACGGTATTCTTAGTTAGTTCTGATGTTGTAACATTGTATGACGCCATGTGTAGGGGGAGACTGGGAGAGGTGGTGTAAACTGGCGTGAACAATGTGTTCACGGTTATTCAAAACAGTAGTCTAAACCTGAGCATAAGGGGGGCTTCTTTGCCACTTTGAGGTGTAAAATGGGGACCCCCCTCGGCCCCTGGCAAGAGCTAAACGTCATGTATTTTGAACGTAGGTGAGAGTTATTATGGGTAGGGACTGATTTGGTGTGTAGACGCGAATGGAAAACAATTTGCCGGAATGTCTGAAATGCTTTCTTTACGTGCTGGAACTTGAAGTATGTGTCATGTAGCGGCCTCAGAATGTTAAAACAAACCGTTAGTTAAATTATCCCGCTATTTTCATGGTTTGTAGTATAAATAATAAAATATCTGTATTCTATCCAATCGCACCAGCTGAAGTTTAAAAGTGTTAAAATATTTATGAATTTCTCCTCTCTTATCAAATTATACCAATTTTTACAGTAATAATATCGAGCACAATTCAAAGTAAATTCGCACCTGAAAATGACCCAGCCAACTTTTCAATCCATTAAAAACAGTCCGCAGAATCTTCCGAACTTTCTCAAACTTTTTGGTTCCATTTCATCCTGTTGTCACTTTCTGACCGTCTGTCCATGTTAAAATACTCGCAGGTTAGACGTAAGATTAATCAAGTTAGCGGCAACCAAATCACAGTACCTGAAACCTTTCACGTGACAGCCTACCCATAACATTGATTGATCAAATTATCGGCTGATAAAGGTGCGGCTAAAGATGTTTACTGACGAATAATAATTATCGTCCTGTGTCGGGTCAGTTTACTGACGTTATTCTGGTGAATTTACTGACGAATTTCATTGATTTCAGGTAAAACAGTTGCGTGGTACTCGTGGGTTGAAAACAAGAAACTGCCGAAAAAGGGCGAAATTATTAAGAAAGGTCAGTACCTTTGTAAAGTCGCTACTCAATACTTTGTTTTTAATCCGGCCCGATCATGACTCCCATACTAGTCCTGAAGTAATATTATAAAGGAGCAAGTACCTGTGGAGGTGTTAGGTGGAGGTAACAGGTTGATTTTAGAGCATGTTCCAGGCTCAGAGCATCCTCTCAGCTCCTGTCATGGACCGTTAAAATTAAGGTGCAAAATAAGGACGACCTGGCACCGCCGCCGGTATTCGGTCATCATTTCAAACAATAATTGACGCTAACAAATTATACAGCCAGCTTTGATCCACGTAATTAACATCAGTCCTATTAACAAAACCGTGTGAAAAGTTACCCAATCACCGGTGGTTACGTCACGACAAACCACCAATAAGAGTGCAGTATTATAGTAACTGTGGTAACGAGCCAATGGGCAGCCAGCAAGCTCCTCTATCATTCACACGTGCGGAAGTTTACAAAGCACAGATTAACTCATTACTATATCCACCAGCGTGCGCTTTTTTGCATAGCGGGCTCTCACCAGCCCGCTGTCAAAGGGCCCGATATCTCTACAGCCTGCTCATGATATAGCCCGCTAACAAGTGACATTTAATTTGACCAGTAGCAATATAGCCCGGAGTTCTCTAAAATATTTTCATAGCACGGAGATATATATATTTGATTTTTGTGTCCGGTAGGGCTGCTCATGCAGCTCGTGAGCAGATGACATGATACTTTGATATATATCAAAGTTATTATAACACACTACATATAATATTAATACACATCTTACTATATATAAAGCGAGACGATATATATGGTTCCGTGCCATTTTACTGACACCATGGCATCAACTTTAACGCGACTTTCCGCAAAAACCGTAAAAGATATACAACTGAAACTTTTTTGACTGGGTCAAATGCTTTAATGGCCTTCAAATCAGCATGAAAAAGTAAAAAATTGGCCAAGGAATAAGAATTTTAGTGCCCAAAATTTGGACTCCCAAGTGGTGTCAAAAACGCAAATTAAATAGGTAATAATTATTTTAGTCTCTCGAGTCTTGACACCACTTTAGGGTAGACGGGTTCCTGCTAGTCAGCACTATATGATAATCCCCCTATTATTGATATTCATCGTCACTGACATTACATTCATTATTCTCACGGCCCAGGAATGCAGTGCCAGTATGGATCTCTTATCTCCAGCCCCTATATACGACACAGCCCTTTATGATTGGCTTACATTGAACACGTGACGTGTTACCATGGTTACAACAATTAGTGGCGACCTTTTCTAGAGTTGACTTTTATACAAGCTCCATTGTTTATTTATAAGATTATATATTAACTGTAAAACGCCCGCTGGTGGATATAATCCACATCACCTCGACCCGCGGGCGGAAAAATCGTATAGCACTCGGGCCCGATGGGCCCTCCGTGCTATACGAAAATATGTCCTCCTCGGGCTAGCGCCCTCGGGGACATATGAAATATTGCACGCGCGTGCGCGTGCAATATTTTGTTCCGCCCGCGAGTCTCCGGTGATATGTATATATAGCAGTCATACCCCCATTATCAGTGAAGTGTGCAGGGCTCAAGTGCCCCGAATCCTGGCTTCTCATTGGATCGCTACAGGACACGTGGCGTGGTTCTAGCTCCTGATTGGCTGGTGAGGGTAGAAGTTGTTGTGATTGGCTGGTAGTTCAGTAAAAGTTGCAGCTTGCTGGCGACACGGATTTGCGGCTAAAAACGAGCCCCATTTTAAATGTGATTATTGTGCAGCTTCGGGTTACAGTTCAAAACGAGGCGATTTCATTGGTTGAAATGGGCCACGTGGTTGAAACAGGAGCATTTTATTGGTTGATAATGTCACGTTGTAACCAACACTTGTCACTGAAGCGGCATCCAACAAGCAAAGTAATGTTTCAATTTACCCCTTATTTCCCATATTACTTAATCCTCATCTCAAATCAACAGTACTCCACTAAAATTCCCGCACACTATAACGTCTTAACCAGATGATATTGCCGCCTCGCCGATGCCCCAAACCGGTAAATGTTCCGAATCTGTGATTGACGGGGGCGCCGTGTCTTCCTGCTAAAACCCGCTCCCTGCTCCAGTCTCGTTATGTGCACAGGACCCTGTTGTAGTGGTGATTTGGCGGATACTGTTTGTGAGGGAGCAGAGCATTAGTGCGCAATTCATTAGGAAGTTATTTTATATGAACTCTTGTGACAGACATAATTATTATGGGGGAACAATCACGGAGATCTCAAATGAGGTAATTGTGGGAAGTGTGGTATTTCACTGGTGTGTGTCACGTGGGTACCACGTGTCACAACATAGTTACAAATTCACCGACTAGACATTATTTTCTCTGTCTCTAACCGTGTATTAGAGATGGTCAATAAAACTACAATGCTGCTTCCCTAATACTCAAATACAGTGCACTGCCATCTCCCCAATTGTAACGAATAAGTCGGATAATTTTAACCATAACAGAAAGTATAACCGTTGCAATATTACTGTTCCTGCTTGAAAAGCACGTGACCCACATTTGACCCCCCACTTAAATAGCCAGTAGTTGCTCTGCTTGATGGACTCCAGCGGCCCTCTAATCACCCCTAATTGGTTATTAAGTACTTGGAGCAAGCTCACTAATTGTGGCTTGTGCACTACCATTTAAACTGTAATTAACTGATTGCCACACTGTAACGGTTTTCCAACTGCTATTTAGGTGGGCCCGTTTAGATTTTTATTAGCTGAGGGATCTAGATTGCGGGGATGTAGCTGATTTACCTAACGCCTAACTCCCCTTTATCACTTGAACTCCAATTTCTCAAGATCTCATTAAATTTTCAATGTATTTCAGATCCTACCCCACAATTCCTTCCCTTCAAATAATTTCCTGACTTTAGCGACTCTTTGTTCATGTACGGCTTCTGTCCATACTAATTACATAAATTCTAGATTTTCTAAATCCTGACTGGAAATTTTATTTCACTCATGTATCGGTCCCTAGATTATCGGTTTCCCCAGATAAGAAAATGTTAATTTCAATCCTGTACACACCAACAAATCTGCGGCTCCACAGCCCCTACGTCACCGACGGCAATAGCTCCAATCTTTCGGATAATGTTTACCATTTTGTCAGGTAATATAATGGTATTTGGTTAAGCGGAGAAGCCTAGTAAAGATTTAACGGAAGGGTCCCAGATATGATACTGAGTACTGTGAAGTGATTTAATTAGGGACCGGGCTGTCTGTTTGGGGTGGCCCGTCTAGCTTTCCTGCTCTGTTTCTCTCTCTAACCACCCATTCCCTGCTCTGTTTCCCTCTCTACGCGTGTGAATTGAAACCAATTTTATGCAGTTTATCAAATATTGGGGAGCCGTTATCTGTGGATTACTAGATTGAAAGTTTTCTGGTTTGGGACCTGACTGGGAGGTTTGGGTCACGTGGGAGATGGGGGGAGGTGTGAGTGGCTGGGCTTGTTTTCACGGCTTCTCAAATACTTAAATAATAATATAATTTGTTGGGAAATGAATTGTTCTGAATTATCAGTCTCAGTCCCTCCCTGCAGTATTGCTGATAAGAACCCTCGTGAGTGTCACGTGTTATCCCTGCTTTGTTCCTTAGCAACGCTTGTAGGTCACGTGCTGCGGTTTATATCATGTGACATGACGTCATTGCCACGTGACTTGGTATTAACGTAGACTACGATAAGGGAATCTGTGAGGAATGTGTTTCAAAGGGTCGTCTGCTACTTAAATGTCTCACAACAGGTAGTGAAATATTCAGTTCGGGCCATTTATCACTCTTAGTTCTGATGTAACGGAAGCAGTTCCACAAGAAGGAAGTGTGGCTAATCATAAAAGGATACTTTTAGGGACCTTTCCTTGTGTTAGGTGCGTGTGCTAGCAGCGATGTGTTTCACAAATACAATAAAGTTGAGGGAAATATTTCCAGCGGTCTTATCCTCTTGATCTATAGTTATTGGATCGTAAGTACTTTTACGATGTCAATAATTGGAGCCGTGAGTACTTTCCTCAAAAGGACCGAGTATTCTGCCTGGAGTCACGAGTATTGGAAGCTCATCTCCTCTTCTTCTTCTCCCTCTCTCCTCTCTTCAACTCCTCCCACACTCTATAATTGACAAATTCAGTGTATCACCTACACTCCTCACATCTACACTAACTCCCTTCACACTGCCCTCCAGGGGAGAGGAAAAATATACTAAACTAAAACCGGAGAGAAAATCTAATAAAGTACTGTAGGTATCAGTCGCTGGTGTAATATTGCTCGGACCTTAGTTCCTAGATCACCCGTCTTGCTCTGAAGTGAGGAATATCTGGTCTAACCCCCATTAGTTTGTCATATTTATAAGTTTATACCGGTCCCTCCGACAAGATCCACAAGCAAGCTGGTCGTGAGTTAACAAGGTTTATGAAGGAGTCGGAGCTGCTGTTTTGGGGGTATTTGTGCTGGTGTGGCTGGTGACGTGGGTTGTGATGGTATCCAACGGGGAATTGCTCGACAGGCTGATTGGAAATGCGGATACAATTCTCGGGCCGCTGATTTTGGGGGTTGTGATCTGCCGTGTTTGTGAAAGCACGCCCTAAAATAAAGTAAATGTTTTGCATTCCGGCCTGGTCGTTAGTAGATAATGCGAAGTCATGTACTAGTCCTATTGATACCTTCTTATTAAGCATTTCACTGATCTGATAGCTTATTTTAGAGAAGAAAATACTCTATTCACTGACAAATTGGTCCAAACATTTCACCAAACCCCTAACTTTTGTACTCAGTAACTAACCAATTCTTTATTGCAGAGGACGATGTAAGACGAGAAGTTGCGAAGAAGGAGAAACGAGTGAGGACGATATTCTCGATATCCCAGCTATTCCGCCTAGAACGACGATTCAATGCTCAGAAGTACCTCAGTGCTTCCGAAAGAGCTAGACTTGCTTACTCTCTACAGCTAACTGAAACTCAGGTACTTACACTTTCTGTTTCACTTCTGTTTTGCTGATTACTATTCGCTTCTCTATTTTTGAGTTGATTTAATCAACATTCGGATGATTTAATTGTTATTTCATTGTGTGTACTTTTCATAAATTCGTGTCCATAACACATTTCGATTTCAGGTTAAAATTTGGTTCCAGAACCGCCGAGCCAAATGGAAGAGGGAGATGGCCCAGAAAGGTATTGACACCAACCAGCAGACCATCAACATTCCCAGTGAGTTAATTTCTTATTCTTAATTCAAATAATAATAAACAATCACGGTCTTTACGATGATAATTTCAGAAAGAATCGCCACTTAATATGATTTGTACACAATTAATCCCCAAATGACCCAATCAATTACCCAATCAATTACCCAGTTACCTTTTTAGACAGCCACCTGGACAGTGACCTATTCGGGGGGTACGGGGTACCACTCTCCACTGGGAACATGATGCCTGGACACGGTATCCACGGCTACCACCATCCCCATCTCCAACACCCTCTAGCTAACAATGCTCTGGTCAACTACCCTCAGTCTCACAGTCAGTTCGGTAAGTCTTTTAAAAGGTAGTCATTTTACATTTGAATTTGCTGAGTCACTGCTGCGCATGTGTTTTAAAGAAGGTTTAAAACCGATAATTAACCAAGATAATCAAATGAGGACTCTAGTCTAGAATATTTTAATAATGACGTTACAAAAGCAAAAGTCGAGTGCCCGTTTTCAGTAAAAATGACAAGCATTATGAAACAGATCAAGCAGTTCCATATTTATGTTATTGTACTGTTCGCTGCAGCAGGACACCACCCTCTTGAATCTTGATGGTCTGATAATAATAACTGTCACTGTACCCGCTAACAAGTCTCTTCCTTTCAGGAGCCACTCTACCCACCATGGCTGGTAACGGGCCCCTCTACTCCACTGTCCCTGGATTCCCTCAACAAATGGCCCAGTGTCGGTCCCAATACGGGACGGTCCAGCGATCACCTCTCTCCTGAATAGGCTGCAACGGTCACTGACCGCCAACAATTCTCCGTACCCTGCACTGGAAGATAGAGACCACGTAGCTCAGATTGTTGACAAACCTTGTACATTTACTGTGACGTCACACGTGACTATGACGTCATCAATGTTTATGACGTCATCAGTAGCTATGACGTCACTGGTCACCACGTCTAACGCGTCCGCGACAAACTTTGTCCTGGTCCTTGAGACTGAATTTCAGACTAATGACGAATTTCGGTCGCTCAATGAACTGATTTAGAGAAAGTGATTCTTATTGACAACAGTTTGACGTAAGAAATGTATAGTTTAATTATTTAATTGTCTTAATTAATATTTTAAGATCATTTTAGACAATTGTATTTTATTATCATTAATCATTATCTTTAGTTAGGTTTTAACTTTTAGTTGTTTGCTTTTCATATTTAAGAATGGTATTCATGCGGAGGAATTCAGTGAATTTTGCCCAAACTTCTAACGATTGTGAACATGAACAATATGGCACTGTGGTGGTTTCGGTTATGCTTCTGCTACTTTTCATTAAAGCAGCTTAAATCTCAAGAATGTTCTTAACGTAAGATTACTCGGAAAATGGCGTTAAACAGATATTAAGTTCAAGTTGGGATATCTAGAAATCTAGCTTTAAAATATTGAAGATTGTCTTGTCATGTCACATGTTTTCGTCTTAAATTCTGAAATTCACAAATAATGTATGAATTTTATTCGGCTATACTACAAATAAGATGATACAAAGAAGGAAACGAGTACTGTTGGAAATATAGCATCCTATTTGTTCTAACCATGTTCCGTGTAGACTTGTAGGCTCACCATTGAGTTACTATTATACCTAAAAGTAAAACTTGTATCGATCAAATATGCCATCTATCAGTCGTCTTTTCGACCGACTTTTCTGTTTTCGATCGAAAGATAAAGACACGTACTGTTTGCGTTGTGATTAAAATTTCTCTAGTCATAAGTTTAGTCTTCGAATAATGTTAAACTATTTTTAGACTCCACCTATAACCCAATCCTGAAATACTTGAAATACATAACCAAAGTCGGCGGGCCACGAAGTGGCAAGCCTGCAGCGTGGAGTATAATACAACGTTTTTAAACCTTAACCAATGTAATACTAATAGTCCTATATCCCGCGGCGCAACCACTCAAAAAATCTAACAGGTTGAAGGTCGTTATGCGTTAGCTAATGGCAATGCTCGATTGGTTAAGTAAAACTAAATACATTGAAATCATGATGAAAAATGGAAGATCACCAAAATAATATGTACCACGTACAGGTAGTACATTTTCAAATATACGCTGAGTCGGTGCCGCGCCGACTCCGTGGTCATGCGACTGTATAACTATAAGTTACAGTCTGTAACTTGCTATCAGTATCAGTATCGATGTTCTACCACTATAACTACCAGCGTACAACTGCGAATAAAAGCGGCCATGCAGTCACTGACCGTCTACCTTAAGTTTATAGTCATACCTCTTTAAGTTTAAACCCTTAAAGTTAATACCAGAATACCTCATTGGCCTTCATCTATAAGCTATGCTTAATGACTTTAATATTATGAAAGAATTCAGGTCAGACAACGCCGGGTTGTTTTGCATTGGCAATTGGCATTTTATTTGGGGGACAACGTTGTCGCCTCGTCGCGCCGCGTATTGGTAATACTAATACTAATAGTGTCATTCTTCCAACTTCAAACTTTTTATCTGTACGAGGAAGCTTTTTAAAAGTTCGGCTTCGATTGAGTTGTACAAGTACCACTACCACACACACTGAAGGATAACATCGGTTATTTATTTTTAACCCGGCACGTAATCTATAAGTATAATTTAGACCGATAACGATCCTCGCGATCAAAATTAAAATACTTCCAACTGCAATTCAAGTTCAACTAATTATACTTATAATTAGCTATTTTATTTTTGTCCACTGTACTTACGTACTGATGTTTTAGTTTATTCGAAATATTTACTGGTCTGCTTCATTATTATTATTATTAGTATTTACGGTATATGTCGTATTATAAAAAATAAATTTGAACAACAATATCACAGTGCTGGCAAGCACGACCGTTGCATTTATTGTGGGTATACTATGTACCCCATTTACTATTATACCCTCTTTACTATTATATCCACCAGCGTGCGCTTTTTCGCATAGCGGGCTCTCACCAGCCCGCTGTCAAAGGGCCCGATATCTCTACAGCCCGCTCATGATATAGCCCGCTAACAAGTGACATTTAATTTGACCAGTAGCAATATAGCCCGGAGTTCTCTAAAATATTTTCAGTTTCTGTATCGTCTCCATGTGAAATTCCTTATATTACACTGACTATATATATAATATTATACATTTCATTTTTGTGTCCGGTAGGGCTGCTCATGCAGCTCGTGAGCAGATGACATGATATTTTGATTTATATCAAAGTTATTGTAACACACTACATAATACACATCAGCACTATAATCCCCCTATATTATTGATATTCATCGTCACTGACATTACATTCATTATTCCCACGTAACGGCCTGGGAATGCAGTGCATCTCGAGCCCCTATATACGACAAAGCCCTTTATGATTGGCTTACATTGAACACGTGACGTGTTACCATGGTTACAACAATTAGTGGCGACCTTTTCTAGAGTTGACTTTTATACAAGCTCCATTGTTTATTTATAAAATTATATATTAACTGTAATACGCCCGCTGGTGGATATAATCCACATCACCTCGACCCGCGGGCGGAAAAATCGTATAGCACTCGGGCCCGATGGGCCCTCCGTGCTATACGAAAATATGTCCTCCTCGGGCTAGCGCCCTCGGGGACATATGAAATATTGCACGCGCGTGCGCGTGCAATATTTTGTTCCGCCCGCGAGTCTCCGGTGATATGTATATATACCCCCTTTACTATTATACCCCCTTTGGTACACGTTACAAGCCTCTTTCGTGCACGCGAAGCGTGCACTCCGGCCGGAGGCGGCGGCCGAAGGCCGCCGCCTCCGGCAGGAGTTTTTCAGGCATTAAGACTCATCGGAAGTCGTTCAGCAGATTTATTTTTAGTTCAAAACATTCTAATTTGATGTCAAAGATGACAGGAATAAAAAATAGTTATGTTGAGATTTTTAAGAAATTTGCATAAAATACTCGCCAGCACTGTTATACGAAATTCGGTAAAAAACCCAAAATCGCCATATTCAGGTGCCTTAAAAACCATGTTAAAATTGAGTTAGAGATCTGAAATTTTTCAGGGCGTCTAGGCGTTGACCAAATCGCCTGCAAAAAAAGTTTCAGGTTTCAGGAGCATCGGGAAGTGGGTTTTCTAGAACCCCTGTTTTACGATAGATTGTCGTGATATATATATATATACATATTCAGGGATAGACGCTTTGCCAGTCAATTGTAGCCTGTATTTAATTGTCCATAGATTCAAAAGTATAAAAGATACAGCCATTTCCGACCACCGGTCTTGAAAATAATTGTTTACACTTTAGTTTACATTGTATAAAAAAATTATTTGACGTCATGAACACCCCTTGATGACGTCATCAAGTTGACCGTTTTTAAAACTTGATTTTTGACAAAGTAATCACTTTTAAAAATGATTTTACACCATTAAAAAGTAATTATATTCAAAATCTGAGGAAATTTTCATCTTAGATAATTGTTCAAGCATTCTGAAAATCTACTGGAAAGTTTTTCTAGCTTGCTCCTTCATAAAGATATTCGTCATTGAAGTTTGTGCTTTTTTGAAGAATTATTTTATAAAAACGTCAATTTTGCGATTTAGTATTCTCTGGTGTTGGGCCATGCCTTGGGTTGTGGAGCTTAGTTCTGCTTCCTATAGGTATAAATTGTGCATTAGGCTAGTTTTAAAGTTGAAAATCGAAAAGTTGCACACGTGGGGACACGCCCAAATTGATAGAAAATTACTAAAATCACTGGAAATTGCTGTTTTCGTCATTTTCTGTCAACTTTAGAGTGCCGTTGTGATTACAGTTCTTCTTGAAATACTTTGAAACTTTGCATGCTTATCAAGCTATATATAAAACAATTACATGCAAAAATTTACGGCGATTTAATATTCAATGCGCACGCAACGTCCGCTCATAGTTTGCACGTGCGAAAGGTGAGAATTTGCTCATTCGTGATTTCCAACAAATTCTGCTTTGCCACGACAGTTTAATGTCATTATATATGAATTTAATGCCAACTTGAATGAGTATTAGGTGGCATATTCAGTCAGTGATCGACCGATATGCTTACCTAAACACAAGGAAATGTTTTTAAAGGAAAAATTTCGAAATCGTTGAAACTTCATCGTATCAGCGCATATTTCGACTTTATAAAGTACCCTGACAATATAATCAAAAAGAGATGATATTTGACCAAAACCCATAATCATGGGTAGAGTGGACCGCTGCCAGTGTCTCTCTTTCCCAAACAAAAGGAAATGATATTAATTTGATTGACCGTTCTCAAATACAAAATGATACCGAGAATGAAATCGGTCGCTCGCTTTTCCCATTCATTTACAATTGTAATAGATTAAGAAGAACTACCCAAAGGCAGCTGTACTCGGCAATAAAGATTCAATAAACTTCAGCTAATTCAATAAGTAATACTAATAACTACCACCCTTACCCCGAAATACTAGGTATCGACCCGAACGCAACCCAAAGAGATTTTTACAGCATCTGATTGATGTAATCAATTGAAACTTATTACAAATTGTAAGCCGTGAATGAATGGGAAAAGCGAGCGACCGATTTCATTCTCGGTATCATTTTGTATTTGAGAACGGTCAATCAAATTAATATCATTTCCTTTTGTTTGGGAAAGAGAGACACTGGCAGCGGTCCACTCTACCCATGATTATGGGTTTTGGTCAAATAATGCATAAATATAATGACAAAAGTAAAACGTCAATTGCTGGTTTTTCTCCAAAAATGGTCCTAATATTTTAATATTTCCTTCCAACTCGATAACTGGTCCAATTTTTCGGTGAAAACTGATGAAACTAAAAAATATAAACATAGGAAATAAAATAATTCTGCATATAAACATCAGTCTAGTTTTTCTTTTACTTTCATATCAAGTTCAACGGTCTTAATGTTTTAATATTTCCTCCCAACTTAAGATCACTGGTCTGTTTTTGGTTTTACGACTTGAATTGCGTGCAATTATATTTCGTCCCAAATTCGTTGGTGCTAAATAAAAATTAAAATATATAAACCATATGCATAGACGTGTGGAAATTAAATAATTCCATAACTTCGAGATCAGTTTTATTTTTGTAAAAATATCGGTCCTAATATTTTAATATTTCCTTCCATCTCTAACTCTATAGAGTGATTAAACCCGCCGATAACCAATAATAATTCAAATACCAACATTAAGCTTGTAGGTTTACAACCTACCTAACATTAAGCGCCACATTCTTACTATAATACGGGGAGGGTTTCGAGCCGGACCAGTGTTCATGAGGGTCGTTGAATTCCGCGTTCAGCTCTGACGCACTTAACGAGCTAAGAGAGGTAATTATAACGCTCCCTCGAGCTCCACCCAGGGCGCACGTGTAAGACGCCTCACAGTTAGTGCTCCCACGGCAGCTTCTTGGCCTTGCTGAGACGTCACCTCCTAATAGGCTCAGTTCCTAAAAGACTCAGTTTAAACGTTTTTTTAAGTACAC